TTTTTAAATTCTAAAAGCTATATTCTTCTCTCAATTTCACCTCACACTACCTACCTACCACTACTCCTTTTTTTTTTTTTTTTTCCCAGAAGACTGGCCGTCACTACTCCTAATTGTAGGCATACGGGGAACCCTGTAGCAGCCAGAACCGTGTTCACGAGAGAACATGCCATACGGGGCTGCTCCCGACCTGTCCGCACCTTTTTTTTTGTTTTTTTTTTTGGAGAAACATAGCACTTTTTAATTCCAATGAGATCACCGGGCCCGGGAACAAACCCCTACATCAACCCGGTACACAGCTGCTGAGGCCAATACTCAGCTTAGGCTACTGGAAACGGGGTCCAGTGTTCCTTAAAGGAATCTCCAAAATGAAAAATTGCAGGACCAATCTATAGCAGTATGATATCCTTCCTACACCAAAGAACACCGGCATGTTTCTAAAATAGAAACACTAATGGCACAAAACAGCGGGCTGTAAACTGCAAATCTCGAAAGTGCCCCAAGGCAGTTCACAAAATTTCCCAATTAACCCTAAGATTATTTCCAAGGCCAACTAAATTCTTAGATACAATTCAGTTCTAAAATACCTTCCAAATAGGTACTAATTTTAATCATAACCAGAATTAGAACTCGACATACTAATAGTATCTAAAGAAATAAACGATTAAAAGCAACCAAGAAGGCAGCCACATATAGGAAGTCCACAAAAAATTCAAAAAAAAAGGGGGAGGGAATGGGTGACCGCGCCCACAAAAATATAAATGAAAAGGGTACTAGCGAGATTTTCCAAGTGGCACAGAGTCGAGCGTAGAACACTCCCCACACTACTCAAGGCATGGGTGACCCTGTGTCACTCTTCCTAATCTTAAAGGTCAGTCATTCTTAAAACCAAACAACCCAATAACTCTAATCACGATTATGGCTGGGGATTACTTTACCCTTTGCGCCCGGGAACCGTTCCCACCGCCACTAGTAAGTCTCCCACTCCCACTAATGGCACCGCCACCCATAGGGCTTCGGGGCTTTACAGACTCAACAGAGAACTCATCTCTTCATCATATTAATTTCCCAGATACTGCCGTAGATATGTAAGTGGTAAAATTAAATGCAGGAATTCCCAGGATGTCCATAGGTCGAGCGTAGAACACTCCCCGCACCACTCAAGGCTTGGGTGACCCTGCAACACTGTTTCTTACGCCTGAAGAGCGACCACTTTTGGGAAATAAACTTCAATGTGTCCCGATAGGCAGAATACACTGAGAAAGTCACCAACAACAGAAGCGATCCCAAAAACATGAAATACCCAAACAAACTTCAAAAAAATCTACAAGATGTCAGACAATAGAAACTATTAAAACCCTAAGGTATCTTAATCGCCCAACATAGCTATCAACACCAACAACGAAACAGTTCCAAGAATCCACTACGTAGACAACTCTAATGGAACAAACTCAATGGCTAAAAGGTGAGAAGGAAGAATAAGCATTAGGGTGACCCACACATCAATGCTGACCAAAACACTGTAAAGAGCCTTTGTTGCCTAGACGGGTTTCCCACCACGCACCCAATGGATACAACTCTAGTTTGCTCTTCACCGGGTCTCTCGTATCATCCCAACCCCGTGAGCTTCACCCTAAACCACCGCAAACCAAATTAAATGAAAACTCAGAACATGAAGTAAGTGAGCGTCGTACTGCCTTGCGCCGAAGGTAAGTCAAACGAGACTTGCTGCAACCGCAAACCAAATTAAGTGAAAGCTCAGAACATGAAGTAAATGAACATCACACTGCCTTGCGACAAAGGTAAGTCAAACGAGACTTGCTGCAGCCCTTGAATATGCCGGAGCGCTGCCACCGCAGCCGCACGCTCTCCCACTGCGTCCAGGTACGCCGCTCCGCCTTCCATGCTTTCTTATTGACCGAGGCAGTCAGGATGACGTGTCATGAAGTACAGCGCGTGGCCTTTAGATGGTGAGAAAGGAGCCCCCCCTTTCCAGCAGAAGGCTTGAGGGGAGGGCGGCTCCTCTGGTGTCAAGGTCTTGTGAGGTGTGTAGGTTGGTATGGAGGTCCGATAAGGAGCTGCCAGGATGCCATGGCGTAAGAGTGCGAAGCACTCCCTACCCACTCAAGGGCTAGGCTACGCCAGGGCACTGTCGCCATAGCTCTCACACAGCCATGGTGCCTGGCAGGGTAGGCGCCTCGTCGAAGGAATCAGCATCCACATGCTCAGACGCTGCGTCCTACACAGCCGCAACCGACGACCGGGCGCCGCCACCGCCGCTGTCGCCGACTCACCGTTAACGCATGTTTCGCGCAGCCCCTTGGTAAAGAGTTTCGGACACGCAATTTCCATGACATGTGTTATTGCTCCGTGCTTATTGCAGAGTGAGTGCCATGTTTTTTTTTTCCTTTATTAAAAAAAAAAGAAACAAAGTGCTGTGACGCTTCGATTGCCTTTCTGAACATGGGTTGGGTGAGGGCCCTTACCTTTGCCCATTTCCATTTCCAACATGGGTTGGATTGTGAATTGAACGGACTTGCCCCTAATTCACGGACTTGCCCCTAATCTTTTTCTTTGTTTGGGTTTTTTTGTATCGCAGTTTGTTTACTAAAATTGTTAATAACAATTTAATTAAAAGAAAATCACAGTTTTTTTTCCCTCCAAGGAGGAGGATAGAAAACATAACGATGCCTTTTTAATATATATAGATATATATTTTTTACATAATGAATCATGAACGATGATCAGAATCTGCCTTTTTTTTTTCTTCTTTTGTTCTATAGGCTATTGATAGGGTTTAAAATCAAATTCTTAAAAAAAATTACGATAATTTTAATGCCCATCCATAACCCAGAACAAGAGAAAATAAAAGATTGAATATACGAATGAGCGGATCATCTTGCCTTCTTTGGACGATCAAATTCTTATATAAGTACATTAGATCACATCAATTCTTATAGATACATACAACCGTGCATGCACGTAGACATACATACATACATACATACATACATACATTAGATCACATCAAATTACGTACCTAATGCAATGTCATTCAATACAATGGCATTTGATGTGATCTAATGGGTGTATCTACGTATGTATGTATGTTTACGTGCATGCACGGTTGGATGTAGGTCTGTCTGTATGTATGCGTGTGTATGTAGTCTACATGCATGATTGTATGATTGTATGATTGTATGTATGTATGTATGTATGTATGTATGTATGTATGTATGTATGTATATTCTCACTTGCAGTGTATTCACATCTGGAGCTCTGCCGTGCCCAGCTGAGTAGAGCGCCGTCTTGACAGTGTCATCCTTCTCAGTCTCTGTTGTCATACTCCATATTTTTTGGGGGATTTTTT